TTATCTTGGCAGAATATAAAGTGAGTTTTACAAATATTCATAATTGACATGATTTATGCCTACACTAATTTTTTACTTGCTTATTATGACTTTGTTGCAGTGGAAAGTGTAAAAGTGGAGTATGTCGCAATTTTTGTGAGTTACATGACAAAGTGCCTTGCATATGTTCCAAAGGTAAGTACTATTCTGTAATTATATGCAAATTTATTTTTGGTTCTTTCTCCAGTTTTCATAGTATCGAAGTCAATAACTCTATAATTTTGTGCATGGCACCTGATCCCACCTCTGTTTTCAGGGGTATGTGTTGACTCTGCTTAGAAATGGACATTTGAGAATGATTACTGTTTATTACATGTATCTCCACCTTTCACACAGATAACACTGCTAATTTTGTTGAACCATATTCCCTGTTATTATTCCTTACAATGCCTTTCACAGCTTTTATTCTGACCTTATAGAAAGTGGACATGCATGTCACCGCTGTTGTCAATCAATAAATGACACGCAATGCCTGCCTGAACCCTCTCCCCCTACCCTACCGGAGAATCTACCCAATGGCCGGCCATGTTTCCATGGAGTGTGTGTGGATGTGAGTAGTGAAGATTGAGTAATATTGAAATGTACATATAAAATTATCACACCCCCCTACCTGTACGTAGAGTTGACAGATTTGGGGTGAACCCAGCCATGTTAGGCAGGGAATGTCGGATTGGGTGTTCCTCAGATCTTAAAATTTATATGCAATAAAGAATAGACATCTTTCAGGGAAAAACCAAGTTTAGATAGTCAAAAAGATACATACAAGTATACTGTATTTTAAATATATGTTAATTTCAATTGCATGATGTATAGAGAAGAAGAAAGTTATCATTCTTTGAGATGAAATTATTTGGTTTTACAGGGTGTGTGTGAGAAACAGAAGAATCATATTGTTCAAAGATTATTCAGCATTATAGATACCATTACTGTTGATCAGTTTGGTAAGTTATTGATACCATTACTGTTGATCAGTTTGGTAAGTTATTGATACCATTACTGTGGATCAGTTTGGTAAGTTATTGATACCATTACTGTTGATCAGTTTGGTAAGTTATTGATACCATTACTGTTGATCAGTTTCAAAAAGATACATACAAATACTGTATTAAATTATGTTAATTTCAATTACATTAAGTTATTGATACCATTACTGTGGATCAGTTTGGTAAGTTATTGATACCACTGTTGATCAGTTTGGTAAGTTATTGATACCATTACTGTGGATCAGTTTGGTAAGTTATTGATACCATTACTGTTGATCAGTTTGGTAAGTTATTGATACCATTACTGTGGATCAGTTTGGTAAGTTGACTCTGTGATATCATTTAATTGTGAAGATAAGTCAAAGTTCATGCAGTACCTTATTTTTGTTCACCACTTGCACTCTAATATTTTGCCCAAAAATACAAGTTAGGTGTGCTACAGACACAGGGTTTGGAAATGACATACACTGTATTACGTATGTATGGAATGTTGAAGAGCAAACACACCTTTAGCTACTGCTAATTTGGACACCCTTGTAGCTACTGATAATTTGGATATCCTTGTAGTTACTGATAATTTGGATCATAATTGTGTTCTCTTTTTCAGTTGAGTTTATGAAAAGAAATATTGTTGGTACCATACTTGTGTTTTCTTTTTCAGTTGAGTTTATGAAAAGAAATATTGTTGGTACCATACTTGTGTTCTCTTTGTTGTTGTGGATTCCTGCCAGTTGTACATTTAGTTATTTTGTAAGTATTACCTAATTTATGTACCAAGAAGAAGTAATTTGAGCTAGGAAATCAAATGTTTAAAATGATTTTCTTGTGTATTTCAATGTATGTCAATTACATGTACATGTCCAGGAATAAAAATTAGGCCATAAAAAATTAATTTCTTGGTTCTCAGGCCCTCCGTCATCTCTTCCAAGGGTGCCTCAATGACCCTTTTTATTGCTAAATCAATAAATTAAAAACAAATCACCTCCCTCGTCATTTTTTGAGGTTTCGTACAATGTAAAAAGCTGCCTCACCATGTTTTGGGGCAATAAAAAGGTTTTTAAAAAAGCTTCCCTCCCTCTGACATCATATTTCTTGAAAAAAAAGGCCTGAGAACCAAGGAATTAACTCTGCATGGCCTAACATGGAAAATTTACCTCATGAAAAATAACATTTTAAAATTTTAGATGGACCTTAAATAAATATCAAATACTTAAAGCACTTGGTATGCAACTGTCTAAAAAACACATCATTCCCCCACATATTGATAAATAGGAAAGGTGTAAATATGTTTGTACATGATGAAGATACATTGCATTTCTAAACATATAGGTACACATCTATTTATAAAATGCACATTTTCATTCATTCACAGGACAAAAAGAGAGAAAAGAGATTACGGCATGGAAGATGGAAAAGCCGTTCAGTAAGTTCTTTGATTGATTATCAAAAATTAACTTAAATGTACTTGTCATAACCTCAAACAGTTAATGGCAATAAATTCATATTCAAAAGGTTTACACCACAAATACAAATGTACTGGATATTACATGTACCAACATCATCTCTTTTGGGCTTATACATGTATGTGTTCATGAAAATGGAAAGCTATTAAGACTTATTTCTTATTCATCTTTAATTCAGAGATACACCTTACTAATGGACTATCTAGATGCAGAAGGGCATAAAATCAAGCAAGCGGGAAGTTTTCGTGTTAAACACTTTGGTGGAAGTGTAATCCGACACACTGGATTCCGTCCAGGACACATGTACCTAACTCAGTCCAACTTTAACAAAGACGTCTTACAGTATCCAGAGGACCTAAAAGAATCTGCAGTCTAAAAATATCAGATCACATGTACATGTACCTTACTCAATCCAACTTCGTAACAGTAAAGGCATCGCCTGAAAATATCAGGTACATGTACCTAACTCAATCCAACTTCACCAAAGACGTCTTTCAGTGAATGGACTTAAAAGAATCTGGGGTCTAAAAATATCAAGTCATGTGTACCTAACTCAATCCAACTTCACCAAAGACAGCTCACAGTATGCAGAGGACCTTTAAGAAATGTCAGTTCATATGTACCTGACTAAGTCCACTAAAGACGTCTTACAGCAAGTGAAAGACTTCCACAGTCTACAAATATTGGATATGAAGAGTGTATTACCTAAATCTTTCAAATGTGTGTGATAGTCTATAACCAAAAGTGCATTATTTTGTATCTAATTCTCAGTCAGTTCATACTTATATATTTACATTGGGTTTATTTTTTATGTTACAATTTTTATATTGTGATGGGAACAAGTATATTTGTACATGTATATGTTTTGCACAGAAAGTGCATTTATTGATCAACTTAAATCCAGATTTTATGTATTTTTATGTTTTAAAAACATTTATTAAAACAATTTTAACATGGCAAGACTTTGTATTTTTGGTGAAACATGTTTTAAAGAAGATCACACTAGTAGTAACTGTGCTGACATGCTAACTGAATCCATTATCTCAAACTTTCAGCATGAAACACATTAGCTTAGTGCACTTTGATACATGTATTTGAATCAAATCCATCCTTGGAATAATAAAATCAAGACTGGTTACTCGTATTTTAGCAGCCTTGGCATGAACAATAAAGCACTAAATTTTGAATACAGTTACAAATCATTTACCCATGATTGGGCTAAATTTTGACTGTAAAATCACATATTTTCATGGGGTGAAATTTTTGAGGTTTGAGGAAAAAATATTGGTTTGTTGGGAATTGATTTTGTGGTTGGAAAATGTTTAGTAGTAATGCATACATGTACACTGTATATGAAATTTTACATTTTGTGGTGGTCATAAATGTGTGCGTCTCTCCATACCTTGAAAATAAGGAAAAATTAAACCCCCCATAAATAGTGATTTCATAGTACTGTATATAGGGATATTTTCGCCCTTTCAAACTTGTTAAAAATTTGCCCCTTTTTAAATTCGCCCAGGCATAGTTTTGTTTTAAGAAATACTGTATTCTTTGAATTTGCCCTATTTTAAACTCACCCAAATGAGGGTAGGGCGAAAGGGGCGAAAATAAAATGGGGGCAAAAATTTCCCTGTATACAGTATACTATGTACTATGTACACATAGAGTACGTTCTACCCCAAGATTAGACATTAGGTTGAAAAAAATTGGTGCCAAAGGAAGTGTCTTGTCAAAAGGAAAGTAAGAGAAATATGAAAGACCTAACACCATCATTCAAAAGTCATATGCAAGGCTAAAGCTTTTACAAATCTAAGTCACAACTGTTGGTACCCATAGAAAAGTCACAATGAATGTACATTTGAGGAGTCCTTGCATCACCTGTGCAAAAAGTATGGACAAGTTGAGAGTTTTTCAAAAGCAAATCAAACCAAAAAAGGTAAAATTCATTGGAACCTAAAGTAAAGGTCTGACTACATGGAGTACGCATATGAAATTCAAAAACTCTAGAGGCCATTCACAAGTTGTGGCCATGGTTAAAGTTTGGTGATACATGTACTGTAAACCAACTTTTATTCGCATCATCTATTATTCGCGATTTGTCTATTTGAAAACAATCTGTGGCGATTAATTTTTGCGACTGAGGAAATGTTCTCTACAAAAACTTAAGGAAAATAAACGGTTCGCGGCGATTAATATTCGCCAGTAACAGAAGGTCGCGAACTCATGGATATTTCTCCCACGCGAATAAAAGTTGGTTAACAGTATATTATTATTACTGCAATGTTTACTTTTTCTACTATGAATACACAATTTTACTACTGTATCTATTATGCCTAATATCTATCTCGAGATACCCTTCATCCATTGCAAAACAATGTACCGGTACTTTCTGTACTACAGATCAGGAGTTAGACATATAAACTAAAGCTATCTGCAGAAGATTGCTTCCTGTATGTAACTGCCTTGCAGCAAGCCATGAGGCTGCAGTAAGCTGAAATAAGCACCAGAAGAAAACTACTGTGCATGTAAAAGCTTTATAAATAAAACATGATGTATAAAAAAATCAACAAATACAATTCTGCCCTCACTCGATCATGAACAGGCACACACATACACGCAAAGGTACATTTCCAAGTCTTCACACAATATCACGAGGGTGTAAAATGAACAACCATGTCATGAATGAACAACCGTGAATCACATTAATCTCCGACCAGCAGTCCCCAACACTTTATCTCCGGCCAGCCGTCCCGAACACAAGGTTGACTTGTCTGTCATCAAACTGATGCAGATCTTTGAGTTTTTGCATGAGGTGCACAATAAGTCCCGCCTGCCGTGATTTGATCTTCACCTGACGGGGATCACTAGAATCATTGACTGTGTAAATCTCCAGGAAGGAGGGCTGGTCGTCAGGGTGAGACCATCGAATGTCCGAGTACAGGAAACTGTAAAGCATCACCTGTAAACACAGACAAAAACAACACTGTACATGTAAATAAACCTCATCGAAAAGGAACATTTTAATTTGCAACCATCGAATCATGATGTTGATAATTTCTATAGCAGTTTTAGTCCTCAATTCATGAATTTTTATACAGTTTTTCATAATTCATCTACATGTCAATTACCTTATCAACATAACTGCCTTTAACTGACATGCCAAGACATCAAACTTTATATTGCAAGTCTTAAGATTATAGTGATACATGTACGTTTAGGATGTGATTATACAAAAATATTTTACTTACTTTAGACTTCATATTTATGATATGTATTCCTACATCGTTGACTCCAATATGACAGAGAATGGAGGATTTACTGTTGGGTTGGAGGTTTCCAGTGAAGAATGCAGATCCATACACTGTCAGTTTCCGACAAAATTCTAGGAATTTTCCTTGCAGGAACTGTTGAACAAAAATTACAATAACAATCATGAATTATGTAGATGCACTCATGGCAATAAAATGCCCAAACTTTCTGTATCTAGAGATTCTCATGATTTATCTGACCTGTTGGTATTGGTTCTGATAGTTTTTGACTTCCCATTACAGATTCCTCTATTTTATCTTATCTGACCTATTAATAATGGTTCTTATAGTTTTTATCCCCTGACAGATTCTCCCACTTTATCTGACCTGTTGATACTAGTTCTGCATTTTTATTCCTTTTACTTATTCCCCTTGTTATATTTCTGACCTGTTGACCCGTTTTATTCTGACCTGTTGATACTAGTTCTGCATTTTTATTCCTTTTACTTATTCCCCTTGTTATATTTCTGACCTGTTGACCCGTTTTATCTGACCTGTTGATACTAGTTCTGCATTTTTATTCCTTTTACTGATTCCCCTTGTTATATTTCTGACCTGTTGACCCGTTTTATCTGACCTGTTGATACTAGTTCTGCATTTTTATTCCTTTTACTGATTCCCCTTGTTATATTTCTGACCTGTTGACCCGTTTTATTCTGACCTGTTGATACTAGTTCTGCATTTTTATTCCTTTTACTTATTCCCCTTGTTATATTTCTGACCTGTTGACCCGTTTTATCTGACCTGTTGATACTAGTTCTGCATTTTTATTCCTTTTACTGATTCCCCTTGTTATATTTCTGACCTGTTGACCCGTTTTATCTGACCTGTTGATACTAGTTCTGCATTTTTATTCCTTTTACTGATTCCCCTTGTTATATTTCTGACCTGTTGACCCGTTTTATCTGACCTGTTGATACTAGTTCTGCATTTTTATTCCTTTTACTGATTCCCCTTGTTATATTTCTGACCTGTTGACCCGTTTTATTCTGACCTGTTGATACTAGTTCTGCATTTTTATTCCTTTTACTTATTCCCCTTGTTATATTTCTGACCTGTTGACCCGTTTTATCTGACCTGTTGATACTAGTTCTGCATTTTTATTCCTTTTACTTATTCCCCTTGTTATATTTCTGACCTGTTGACCCGTTTTATCTGACCTGTTGATACTAGTTCTGCATTTTTATTCCTTTTACTGATTCCCCTTGTTATATTTCTGACCTGTTGACCCGTTTTATCTGACCTGTTGATACTAGTTCTGCATTTTTATTCCTTCTACTGATTCCCCTTGTTATATTTCTGACCTGTTGACCCGTTTTATCTGACCTGTTGATACTAGTTCTGCATTTTTATTCCTTTTACTGATTCCCCTTGTTATATTTCTGACCTGTTGACCCGTTTTATCTGACCTGTTGATACTAGTTCTGCATTTTTATTCCTTTTACTTATTCCCCTTGTTATATTTCTGACCTGTTGACCCGTTTTATCTGACCTGTTGATACTAGTTCTGCATTTTTATTCCTTTTACTTATTCCCCTTGTTATATTTCAGACCTGTTGACCCGTTTTATCTGACCTGTTGATACTAGTTCTGCATTTTTATTCCTTTTACTGATTCCCCTTGTTATATTTCTGACCTGTTGACCCGTTTTATCTGACCTGTTGATACTAGTTCTGCATTTTTATTCCTTTTACTTATTCCCCTTGTTATATTTCTGACCTGTTGACCCGTTTTATCTGACCTGTTGATACTAGTTCTGCATTTTTATTCCTTTTACTTATTCCCCTTGTTATATTTCTGACCTGTTGACCCGTTTTATTCTGACCTGTTGATACTAGTTCTGCATTTTTATTCCTTTTACTGATTCCCCTTGTTATATTTCTGACCTGTTGACCCGTTTTATCTGACCTGTTGATACTAGTTCTGCATTTTTATTCCTTTTACTGATTCCCCTTGTTATATTTCTGACCTGTTGTTCCGTTTTATCTGACCTGTTGATACTAGTTCTGCATTTTTATTCCTTTTACTGATTCCCCTTGTTATATTTCTGACCTGTTGACCCGTTTTATCTGACCTGTTGATACTGGTTCTGATAGTTTTTATTTCTCCATATCTCACCCCCACCCCCACCCCCACCCCTACTGATTCCCCTTGTTATATATCTGACCTGTTGATACTGGTTCTGGTAGTTTTTGATTTCCTCCTGCAGTCCTCCACAGTATTCCTTGTACCTCTTCATTATTGTAGAGTACAAGTGCTGTCCCTTGGCTTTCAGTATAGGGGCTGGTACCAGACTACTTATGTTTTTACTGAAACAGAGACAAGTCTAGTGTAAGATTTGAGTATAAGATGGTTCTATATTCACACCCGTCAAAAATTCATAAAACACCTAGAATATCTCAATTACACTCTTGAAAACATTTGGGTTTTTTTAATCAGAAATCAGACTTATAAAAATAGACAAAGCATAAGGCCTATTTGGACACCAAAAATAAACGTCATGGCAAAATCTTGAGGTTTTCTGATCTGCTCTAGTATATAACACTCACTGTAGGTAGTGTTTGGCAGTTCCTGGATCATACTTCCCTCCATGCTCCAGGAGAATTAAAATGGAGGCAAACGTGTGGACATCTTGATCCTTACAGGGATATAAGGCATTAATATAGTTATGCTTGGCCTCATAAAACAGAATCTGGATGGCTAAGGGATGAACCACCTCCCTCTGCTCTGAGACCACGCCCACTTTGGCGTTGCGGCGCCACTTAAGGGTGGGATTCTCCTTGGTGGTATCCGTGGTGCCTGTTAACATGCTGACTATACGCCTCCGCCAGTTGTTGATGTGCTCCACTGGTTTGTGCTCCAATTTTAATTGTAGCTCTGCATGAATGAAATTAATTTGTCACAGAGGCACAGCATATCAGATGACAATAAAAACTCTAAAACACTAAAATGTTTCAACCCCGATAATTCCCTTTATACTTACCAAGACTTTTAGAGCATATCCATATTGTGAAATATTCAGCATAGGGCTTAGGGGGAAGCTGAAATGCCTGAAATATGAAGAAACATCTTAGTATGCTATAATATTAAAAAAAAGTTATTTTTTAAAAACATTTTCTTGGGGAAAAAGCTTAACCTTTCCTTTTTTTAATTAAATACGCACCCTCAGCAGCTGCAGGTTAAGCTGTTGGACCGTGGTGTTGTCACCGTTAGATAGGTTCAGCATCTTTGATGTTCCGTCCATTAAAAACACTTGTATCTGCTTCTGAAAATACCCACACAAAGAGTATTTAAACAAAATATGTAAATGTTTATATGTCAATAAAAATATTGAGAAATTTTTAGTAAATTGTGTGAAGTTATAGTTTCTTTATTCTATTTTTCTTCATTTCAAAGAAATTTAAAAAGCTAATATATTGGTGCAAAATTGTAGAAAAATGACAGATTATATATTAAATATTTTCTTGATTTCAATTAGTGCATTGACAGTTATGACAATAACAGTTACTGTTTTTTTAATGGCGGAGATGATGAGATTGGCCGTCTTCTGATGTTTTGGAGATCGTGGATCCTGTTCACAGAGGTTTAATGGTGTCCTGTTCTGTTTATCCAACAGCTCCTACAAATGAAACATTTGTTTAAAATGAGAGTTTTAAGTTCCATTTTAGAGACCTCATTACAAAACATTTCAAAGTTCTTTATATCGATATAGCTTATTGTAGATTTAATAAATAGTGATGTAAATTCTGAATTAATCTGAAATTCATTATAATAGTAATATTGCAGTTTCTGGTTTAGACATGAGTTCTTTCATTCCTTATTCACCAGAGTGATATTTGGTCCCTTATGCTGGTTCCCTACTTACCAGACTGGTTTCCTGCCTCTTTATCAGTTCCTGAACCACATTCCAATGACCCTCTTTTGCTGCGATGTGTAGCGGGGACTGACCAAGCTCATTCAGAGCATTTGTATTACATCCGGCTTCCAGAAGTATTTTGGCTGCATCTACAGAACCTTTGCTGTGTAAGTAAAAAAAAAACTAAGGATTACATGAAGTATCATGATGACTTGAAATCATACCAGAACTTTTAAATAACAAATTTGACTGAAATGAACCTGATAAATAAATAAATCAAAACTCATAGACATCTTAAATTTCTTTGCTCATTTAGTAATTATTACAAATACAAAAATAAATAAATAACACAAGGGGACTAAATTTTACATGCTTTTGTATTAAAACTGATAAATGATTAAAAACTACATGTATGGTTTACACATAGAGGGTATACATAAAACAAACATAAACATTCCGATATAGCTCCCCATTACTTACTATGCTGCCATATGAAGGGGGACTCCATATTTGGGGTGTTTTTCATCGACTAGGTGTGAGGCAAAAGAAATGGTGTCCCTAATGGCTTGGATATTGCCCTCATTCACAAGTTTGTGGATATGATACTTCTCTGGATACAAACTAAAAAGGCAATCCAACCAAGCTTTATCTATTATGCAAATAATTTATCTCTAAAAACTATTGGCAAAAAATTCAGATGAAAAAAAACAAAAATATTCATGCATTTAACCAAACTTTCAAATTCAGACAATGTTTGTAAGCGGTTTAAAAAACATCTACAAACTAGAACTGTCCAAACGGGACAAAATACCCCCCGCTGGATTTTTTCACAAGTAAGTTTTTCCATAATAAAGATATGTATCACACATGAATTATGAAATTTTTCTTCAAGTGACCTTGAAATTCCCCAAATGACCTTGGGTCAAGGTCATGACATACCCTTGGGTCATGGGCAATCTTTGTGTGAAATGAGAACCTACCAAGTTTATCCATAAAAAAGATATGGACCAGAAAGAATTATGAACTTTTTCTTCCTGTGACCTTGAACTTCCCCAATTGACCTTGGGTCAAGGTCATGATACACCCTTGGGTCATGGGCAATCTTTGTGTGAAATGAGAACCTACCAAGTTTATCCAATATCCATAAGAAAGATATGGACAGGACACGAATTATGAACTTTTTCTTCCAGTGACCTTGAACTTCCCCAAATGACCTTGGGTCAAGGTCATGACACACCCTTAGGTCATGGGCAATCTTTGTGTGGAGTAGTAGATTCTAATGTCCCTTTGTAAGAAAGATATGGACCGGACACGTTTGCACAGACAGACGGACGGACGGACAGACGGACAGACAGACAAGGTGATTCCTATATACCCCCCCAAACTTCGTTTGCGGGGGGGGTATAATAATTATGACAAAACTATTCTTCTAAACAAAATAACATTCCTAAACTGGGAAACATAAATGTTATAACTGATGACACAATTAATGTTATGATTGTGGATACCTATCAAATGACCCCCCTGTGCTGCTGTTCCTGTGGGAGCTGGGCCACGTGTAGTCAGGGACACCCATTCCCCAGTACATGTTAACTTCAGCTCTGTCAACCTGAAATATAATTTACACAGTTATCTACCACTTCTCTTCAAGTATCAAAGAAGTTTTACATTTTATATGTCAGTTTTAAAGAAAGTTGAGAGACATTGCTGCAGTATTTCATAATAATTACATATGGGAACCAGACACACAGACAGACAGTTAGACAGACAGACAAACAGAGGGACTTGCCTTTGGTTTACACGGAAATGAGGATCCAAACACGGGATTCAGGACAACCTTCTCACATTTCTCGATTTCCAGCATCCTTGTGAGGGCTTCCCGAGCCGTGTGCCTGATCTCGTCTGGGGTGGAGTCTATAACCATTCCTGTTGACTTGTGTTCATGCTCAAACCGACTAGGTAAAAAGGCTGGGTTGTTGACACTGAGTTTGACTCGATAGTCAGCACGACGACTAAATAAGATGTTAACTGCTCCAGGCATTGCATGTTTCTCTCTCAGCCAACTGAAAATTAATTAAATGATTTCATACATAGCTACAAATAACAATTATAATTTGATTGTCTCATCTTAGTCAATGACACAGAGTTCTATTGTAAGCTTACCTCTCTAGCTGGGATATAAAGGTTCTGGTAGGGGGAGGGTAGGCCACAGTGTCATTGTTCAGTGTATCAATCACGTAGTCCAGGGAGAAAAAGCCAGGGTAATCTGGAGACTTCTCCACAAACATACGATTCAGCTTATCTGAAACAGACAAATCAGGTTACATCAAAATTATTCACTGTAAACATTTAAATCAACAGCTCTCAGAATACCGGTATATCTTCTCACTGCACAATTCTCAATCTTCTTCCATGTAAACTCTTATGGCTTTGATCCTTTATCATTTACATTTATAGATTACTGGAGAATCAAGCTTGTGTATTACCTCCCTTGTTGACTGGAACACAGAAGAGGGCGAATCGTGTGAGTGACTCCCTGTACTTGTCACTGGACCACTGAATCTGAAGAGCACGCTCTCCTGCACAAGGAGGAAGAATTGTTACATGTATAAATTACTTCCCTCCTTAATTGTTTAAGTAGAAGTTCCCTTCTACTGGTTGTCACAATCATTATAGCATTTCAGAGTCCTCAATAGATGATAACTCGGTGACACGTTGAAAACTGATGCATATATTCCTTTTTTTGGGGGGAGGTGTACAGAAATGTAGTTTTCTTTATTTACATTACATGTTAATGTCATACACATGTAATGAAGAATTCTATATATTTTCAAAGGATGGGAAGTTTCATTTCAGGATATGTAATAAACGAATGTTGATTTAAATCCACATTCCATTTCATAAAAAATTCTGAATATTATACATATACAATGTACCACACTGTCCATAGAAACACATGTAAAGATTAATGCTGTCTAACAGTTAGCCAATATAAATTACAAATGTAATGAATTGAACATTTTGAATTGAACATCATGCAAGAAAACATACAAATATAAATCATGTGTACAACTACTGTAAATTATATAACACATTCATAAGATAACTGTCCCTGACCTTTGATGCCGACGTGATCCCCTCCGGTCAGCTGATACAGATTGGCCAGAACCTCGTCCCCAGCCTCCTCCTGGACGTTGGTCAGCGGGAAGGTGGGGAGGTACTTGGTGGGCTTCCCCTTCTCCCCCGAGGACGCAGTTTTGTGGTCCAGCAGCAGAATATTATACAGCTTAGGTCGGTACTCCTGGCTGAAGACATTTTGTTTGGGTTGAACCACAGCTAGGATGACCTCCATTACATAATTAACCACTAGGTGTTCAAATGCCTGGAATTACATAATTAACCACTAGGTGTTCAAGTGCCTGGAATTAAATTTCTTGTTATGAATACCACTTTAAATTGTGTCAAACACCGACTACTTCTAGTACATGTACATTTTCCATGAAGAATGTTTCTTATTAACGAAATCATACGTCAAATTATAATTCACTTCCCAGTCGAAGTTCTATCTTACAAATGTGAAGTATGCATAATAATAAACCTTTATATCATAAACATTAAATCCTGCTTCATATGTAAATTTTCTCTCTATCTCCTGCTCTCATTACTACACATATATCAATAATAATCTAACATTCTAAGGAATAGCGATACATGATGTACCCCAACGTGAATAATCTAACACGATCAAACATTAAAACCCTATAAAAAATTTGGGTTATAAATCCTAAATGTCATTTTTTTTGGTCATTAAATCCAAAAGTTAAGGTCCTGTGTCAATAAAATTTTTCTCCTGTGCATACATTTTCCAATCCTTTGTTCAAATAACCTATTAAATATCTGAGCTTAGCTGTAAAACTTTCTATATGTTGACAGACAAAACAAACCATAACATTCTGTTTTCTTGTTCCATTAACATGTAACAATTTTCTCTGCTTCACATATTTTATTTAGCTGTACAACTGTACCATTTACATGTATACATTACTTACTTATACATATTTAGTCCTCATAAAGTCTCAGTATACTTCTTAATGCTGATCCATACTTTTAACGTTGATTACATTACTAACAGTTGAATAGGCAAAATGGGATACTGAAAAAATAAAGAAAATTTCCAAATTGGGTTTGCCTGCAAAAAATGTATGATACTCATTTTGTCAATTAAGAAATAGTAATCCTGTTATATTCATAATGCTGGTATTCACCTTAAGTTTATGAGTGTGTATGTGTTTTTTTTAATAGATTAATATATTTAAGGAGGAAGAGTTTTTGTTGAAAATTCCACAAATTATCAGTCCACTGGTTTTGTCTTATATTAAAGGAAATCAAAGTACAACCCGGACATGTAGCTATTGCAACTCCAATGAATAGAACTGGAATTCTTGGTGTATACTACATGTACAACCAAATTTTCTTGTAAAAATCTGGTACAGGAGTGGTCCTTTGATAATATCCTACATGTCATTTTATTTTACGTCAGAACACATTAAAATGTTGCAACATCATTTGTCAGGTACAGTAAATCTAAAACTTAAAAAAAAATCTTTGTATAGTTTAATAACTTGTGCATCAAGAATCCCTTGAAATTTTTTGTTCTTTTAATCAATTACATTTTTGTAGAATACAGTATTTTATATCTTAGCTAGTGTAGTCTATATTTTAAAGAGTTTCCATTATTGAAATCTGACAAAATAGGACGATGATGATGTTACAGAAAGAAGAGATTACCATCTGTCAATCAGGCATTCATTTTCTATAAAAAGTACCGTAAATGATAATTGTCCAATGTCTAATGTCATCATCTAATCATGTTAAATTACTGTAAACCTCTGTCAGTTGTGGATGTACTTTGTTGCAGAATTAGTAAAAGAGTGTTTCAGGAAATTATATTGTTACAAAAACTTGAGAAAACAGTCTTAAAATACTGAGATAAAGAACCCTCAAACCATTCACACTTTAAGGGTTATAAATGTATACATTTTTTCAATGGATCTGTAATATTTTGGTCATTCATCCCAATTTTTCAGATCAATTTTAAGATAACAATGATTGATGTGGCATCACACTATGATCACAGTCTAGACTGTCTAAGCCAAGGTATGAAAAAGGGCAACAGGCAAATCTAAACTAGAACTGTCCAAACGGGACAAAATACCCCCCGCTGGGTTTTTCAGAAGTAAGTTTTTCCATAAGAAAGATATGGACCGGACACAAATTATGAAATTTTTTTACCAGTGACCTTGAACTTCCCCAAATGACCTTGGGTCAAGGTCATGACACAACCTTGGGTTATGGGCAATATCTGTGTGAATATGAGAACCTACCAAGTTTATCCATAAGAAAGATATGGACAATAATTTCAATTTTAATTATGAAATTTTTCTTCCAGTGACTTTGAACTTCCCCAAATGACCTTGGGTCAAGGTCATGACACACCCTTGGGTTATGGGCAATCTTTGTGTGAAAAAGAACCTACAGAAAGTTTATCCATAAGAAAGATATGGACCGGACACAAATTATGAAATTTTTCTACCAGTGACCATAAATTTCCCCAAATGACCTTGGGTCAAGGTCATGACACACCCTTGGGTTATGGGCAATCTTTGTGTGAAATGAGAACCTACCAAGTTTATCCATAAGAAAGATATGGACCGGACACGAATTATGAAATTTTTCTTCCAGTGACCTTGAACTTCCCCAAATGACCTTGGTTTAAAGGTCATGACACATTGGGCTATGTGCAATCTTTGTGTGAAATTGTGTACCAAGTTTATCCATAAGAAAGATATGGAGGAGACCATGCTTAAAGTATTTATGAAATTTTTCTTCCAGTGACCTTGAACTTCACCAAATGACCTTGGGTCAAGGTCATGACACATCCTTGGGTTATGTGCAATATCTGTGTGAAATGAGAACCTACCAAGTTTATCCATAAGAAAGATATGGACCGGACACGAATTATAAAATTTTTCTTCCAGTGACCTTGAACTTCCCCAAATGACCTTGGGTCAAGGTCATGACACACCCTTGGGTTATGGGCAATCTTTGTGATAAATGAGAACCTATCAAGTTTATCCATAAGAAAGATATGGACCAGTAGAGCTAAAAATTGTATAGTTTTATAATTTTTTCTTCCAGTGAATTTCAATTTTTAAAAAATTAATGACCTTGGGTCAAGGTCATGACATATCTTGGGTTATGGGCAATTTTTGTGTGAAATGAAACCTACCAAGTTTTTCCATGATGAAAGATATGGACCGGACACGAATTATGAAATTTTTCTTCCAGTGACCTTGAACTTTTCCAGATGACCTTAGGTCAAAGTCATGACACAACCTTAACTTATGACCAGTCTTTGTGTGGAGTAGTAGATTCTAATGTCCCTTTGTGCAGAAACTGTAAACGAATTAATATGTTAGGAACTGACATCGTTACAAAAGTCTTAAAATTCTGAGATACAACCCTCAAAGCAGATTGATTTGAAGATAATTATGATTGACTACATGTACGTTCACAGTCCATACTGTCTAAGCCAATGTATGAAGAGGCAGATCTAAATTAATCCAGTGATAAATATAAGAGCACTCACCAAAACTACTGTACCACCAGAAATAGTATTTATAGGCAAGAAGACAAGGGACCTAAAATAAAATAGTAATCTCAGAAGATAGAAAGTGCAATAAGTACATGATGGATGCACATCATGAAACACTCAGGACAAGGAAGCAGATACATATCAACTTTATTTTTTGCAGCCTAACTTTTTTTTTCTCAAGTAGTTGTCTAATGCCCTTGTACTATCACTTCTTACCATAAAAGCTCATGCACCCCACCCCTCTACTTCCCTTATCCCCTTTTTCCATTCCATAAACAATGATAAAGGAGGGATTATTGGACAATGTGCCCTAATCCAGTAATGATACACTAACTGTAAACCTATACTTCTGTGTTCAATAGCAAGTGCAACAATTAGCAGAAGCACTGCATGCTCATCCCATCAGCTTTTAAAGCAAGACCTGGGAAAGAGGTCATTTGTACTTTAACATTAAGCCAAATGAATTTTTTTGTCAACATAATCTCTGGACCCATTCTAATATATATGACAATTCTTTGAACATGTTATTAATTAAATCTTAGCAGCAATACACTGTACCACAAACTATGTTCTCACAGCAGCAACAACATTCAGCAAAAAATAAACTCACCTTAATTTATTTGATACTGCCCATAAATAGCAAATTGTTATTTGTTTAAAATTTGTACTTTTCAAACTTTGTTAAGGAAATGGAACTAACATATAATATCATGTGTTGTCATAATTATGATAATATCACAGTCTAGAAGAGCAGAGGTAATAGGCTAAATTCTTAATTAAGTGAATTTATCCAATAATTCAGGACAGTAAACACTTTCCCTAACAGTTGCACCATCAAAATATTACAGCTGTTACGGAATATTGGCTTGTAGTTTCTGGATCTCTATTAGTGTTAACAACTTAACAGAAACATGTATAGAAATACCAACTCTTGTATCATATTTTATTATATAGCTTATAAATAGTCTCTAATGAAATACTACCAAAAACCTAGAGAATTTTAGCGTTCAATATCTTGACGTTTTATTGAACGCTGAGTTTGTATTACATATACGAGTATGCCCAAAACATTCCGAACACGAGCGTTCAATATCAAACGCCCCGTTGTAAACAAAAAAAAAAATTCTCATAGCTATATTAACAGAATAAAGTGGCATCTAGGTAAGATGTGTTTATTTTTCACACAAAATGAAATTATTTATCAAAAATTTAGTACGTATTAGACCGATTGAAACCTAAATAAGCAAATCATATCTCTCGGTAGGGTCATCGGAATGATGCAAATTGAACGCTTACGAGACATACGTTAATTTGAATACTGATACTCACAAAATCATTAATTTGACTTTTTTTTAGTTGGAATAATTATTATAAATTATGTGGAAATGTTTTAGCTATATAAGAAAGGAGACGTTGGCTGTTCAAATGCACTCGCAAGCTCGTGCATTTGAATAGCCAACTCATGTCAATACTCACCAATATAAGTTCAATAACCCTATAATATATTATTGCAAGTGCAGAGAGCAGCGCTTCATGCACCGTGAGCTCTAATGATAACCCCTCAGTGAAAAGAAAATTCAGACTTGCACATTAATCCAAATGAATTTTTTTCACTCAACTTCTGTCATTCTGGACCCACAATGCATTGCTTGTTAAGCTACATTCTCGCAATAGTAACAACAAAAGTTCTATAAAAAAATTAATTTGCCTTGATTTAATGGATGTATTGTAGATAAAAAGTAAATAAAATGTTCTTTGTTAAAAATCATAAATGTTGCAGGTTTCGGTTTGGTAATGCAACTTGACGTCATGTCACGGCAGAGTGAAAACGTATTAAATGTCATATGTGATATGAAGAAACGGGTCCTCTACAATGAAAAGGTATCTGCCCTCACCCTAACAGTCGCACGATCAGAATATTATTTATAGAAATCAAGATGCAAGAATTCAGTACAACCTGTCTGCAATAGGCTTCACAGCTACAGTATGACTAACTACGTGGATCTACCTAAAGTCTCTAGGTAGCTTGATTTTGCTATGTTAATGCAAGTATTTTTACAAGTTCTTTGTCCAGGTAAAATAGTAAAAGAAAACAGTAAACATTGACTATAAGCATGTAGCATAGTTTACCAGTGTTTACCTACCTTCACGTCAAGGAAAATTGATTTTCTATCAAATATTCAAAAAGGAAGTTTAATCAAGTGAAAATATAGTGTCCAAAATCTTCTTCTGCAGCAAGTTATGGGAATCGCAAAGCGATTTTTACACAAATACTTCACAAAATACTTGTTGACATTCCTCTGTTTTCAGCCAAATTACACGGAACCGGAAGTGCATGGATCAAGAAAAAAATCTTAAATTCGGAAGAAAATGGATTTAAAAAGTATCGCTGAACATCAATAAATTATTCCTTAAATCGAAATTCTGTGTTTATGATATTAAATTTGCTGTTATTAATTGATTATAAGAAAAAATTATTGTATCATGTAAAGGTTTTATTAAGATTTACGAAAAAGGTTACGCAATCAAAATATATCCGCTTTATTATTTTTCTGCCCTTCTGAAAAATGTCAACAAATGTGTGGAGAAGCCATGTGTCATTGGAACTGTCAATATTTTAAGCATTGTTTGATTGTGTTGTATCATGATGACAGTCTTGACCATAACAGTTAAAAGATTGACAGATTTACTCTTCCTAGAAATAACTCAGAAATCCATGGGCTGTTTTTATAATAATATATGACCTAGCTTTTTTCATGCAAATTATGTGATGCTTGTGTAAGGAAGTTCAATGGTAATGGCCAAATATAACAAAACAGATCACATGTTTACAATCTACAAAAATAGAAAACGCTTATCAAAATGTGCAGTTACAGATAAAGAGAGTTATGGAATGCAGGTAGGTTGAAATAATGTATAGTTATCATTTGCATATTATTCCGGCTTACTAATTACATACACTATAATAAAGGAAGGTAAAATCAATATACATGATCTTAATATTTATGAAATATTTATGGATCCTGCATGTCCTTTTGATAAAAAAAAATCTTACTATAAGTTTAAAATATCTAATTGGATCAGGTACATAAATTATGTGAATTCTTATTTTAAATTAGATGCATGTCCACTTTTTTTTTAATATCAAACATTTTGTAACCCCTTCATTTTGAATATATGAAGCATTTAGAATCATAAATGCAGATTGCAATATACATATAGGCCTCTCATGATTGCAGGGGGGAAAATTATAATTAAACAGATCCCTTGTTTAATATTTTATAACTTTTAAGTTATTGTATTTCATGTAAATTAATTAATGCTGTTACCAAAAAATATATACACAGGTGAACGTGAAACTGGAAATCAGAGAAATCTTGAACCAAATAGCAGATGATATAAAATCATGATAAAAAGAGGTGCATATATACAAATGATTCATTCTTCATGGATTGAAAAATGCTAGCTAGAACATGTACGAATATGACTCTGGATTCCTAATTCTGTTGGAGGAACCATATGGCATCTGAGGATTATTTTTGTAAATACTGTGCACTGGAGTCACAAGGACTAGAAGATCCATTTGCCTATCAGTTAGACTCGGAGAAAAAAAATTACAGAGAGATTTTTCCTGAACTTCTTCACCAAGATTTCTATTCCAAATCTGAGTACATTTGTTCAAAACATCGCCATGGATCCGTGCACCATTCAGGCTTTGTACAAAAAGCAGGTAAAAGTGGAAATGTGAATGTGTCAAATTTTAAATACAATATTGCTAATCCTGTGGCAAGGGAAGAAAGAAAAAAAGTTGAAGAGAGGACATTGCACAAACATGGGGAAGTAATTCCAAAACCTAGTACATCAAAAGCACCATCACCAGTTATGGATATTGGTAATGCAAAGTCACAGGGACCATTAGTAAGGAGTTCTAGTAACAAGGGTCTAGGACGACCAGGTTCCTCACACCGTCAGTGCTGCTGCTGTTCTGAATTCCATCATCATACTTTCGAATCTCCAGAATTTTACATTCCCAAGGATGATACTTGCTCAAAGTTGGAAGAAACTCTTTCAAAAAATCACCATGAAGTGGTATTAGCAAATGAAACATTCCTTAACATTAGCAATGCATTTTGGTATCCTAGCTTGTGTCTTAATCAGTTTTCTTCAGAATTTTTATACACAAACTTTGAGTCTTTATGGCCAGAGGAGAGTGTGTTGCGCGACATTTTACGGGACAGTATTCAAAACACAGTCTTGCGATCAGCAATTCCTCAACTTACAAAGGTTGCTATAGTGTGTGGACCAGTAGACATGTTAAAATCTCTCATCTCTCTATCTTTAGTTAGTAAGTACATAATATACTTTTTTTCTTATCTCATCTCTGTGCTTTTAATTACTAAGGAAATATCATATTTTGATATATTTTTAAAAATTCTATTCATAAATCATACAGATTTCCAATATTATGTACCATGTACCCATGTTTTTTCCACTCTGCAAATTTGAAGAATCAACTAATAATCATTAGAATTATTCTGACAATATCAATATTTTTATGCAGCAATTTTTTAATAGAATCTATTTTTACTGGCCTGCTCTACTTAAATTGATTCATATTTTATTGATGAAATACCCGGTAAAAGCTTTTGAAATATTCAATCAATATCTAAGATTATATATGAAAAAAAGTATGTATTTTAAACTGCACATAAATCAAAATTCTTTTTTATTGTTAAAGCAAAAGAAATTTAACTTTTTTTGCTCAATTTCATTTTTTTCATTTGTGACATATTTGACTGTTTATTAAATGATTATATATAAAATAAAAATTTGTTTTTTGCAAAGATTTAAAATGCAACCCAAACTTTTTTTTAGCCATTGTGTAATTTATTTTTTTCTTCAATTTTTCAGGATATTGTAACTTTCATTTTCAATTTTTGACTTTTGTTTTTTATCAATCAGTGGTTTATAACAAGAGTTGAGCTGGTTCATGTTTAATAGGCCTATGAAAAGCTTTTTTATTTGTTATGTAACAAATATCTGAAAACATTCCCCCCCCACCCCCCCCCCAAGAAAAGAAAGCCTACCTACCTACCCAGTCTAAAAATTATAAGTCGGCAACTGCAAACAAAGACTTTTTTAATCTTGGCCTAAGTGTCCTTTGTTATTCTAGGACTTGACACCTCTATAGGAGAAGAAGCAGGACTCTTACATTATGCCTGTCTCTTCAAGAGGCTGGATATTATAAGTTACTTAACCAGCTTAGGAATCCACCCAAAACTCAAAGACAAATATGGTGAGACTTCCTGGTTTGGTCAAATTACAGTATTTTTATTTACTCTATAAATTTGCATTAAACTCTCAAATCTAGCTGTATATTTACAATATTATGTGTTACTCCAATTTTTTTGTGCGATGAATTGGAAAAAGAGGAAAATGGTATTTTATTACTTAGCGAATGTCATGTGATGAGAAATGGGCTGATATCACATGATATAATTTCAAGAGGATTCTATTACAATATCTCTTATTTCAGGCAAAAATATTTGTCTGCATGTGATCATTGATTCTTTACATCATGCAAATTTAATACACCCCAGGAGTAGCACAACTTTTCATTTTCACCTGGCCTAAAATAATTTAATAATAAAATTAATAATAATACATGTATATATATTACATATTCATCTTTTCAGGAAATTTTGCGGATGCTCTGTGTTTTAGTTCCAAAGTGTACAAACATCTTCCCAGCAAATATCATCTAAGTCATATCATGTGCCCCTCCCCTAAACTTCCCAGCGCTCAGGATAGAAATGTGATCTTCACCCTGGCCAAGTCACCAGGGTCACTTTACCAGATTCAGAGAATGTTACAGGTAAAATAAAGGGTATCTATTTCAGATGGAAATAATTATGTATTTGATTCACATATTTAAGTTATTTTTCTGTCATGATCATTGACAATTAGTCCTGAATAAAAAGACACTCTCCATTTAAATAAAATCAATAAGGTTCATGTATTTCTTTTTACAAATAGAGATCTTCATTTCTGAACATATTACATTGAAGTACAAGTTTTTGTTGAGTGTTAAATTTTTTTTATGTCAAAATAATTTATTCAGCGTAAAATGTTTATAATCATTTGTAAAAAATTGGTTTTGTATTTACAGATGTTTGAGTTCAATGTGAACACGGAATGTGATGAGACTGGAAACTTCCTGATACACCTGGTCACTGAAACAGGTAAACAAATAATACAGCTGGTCACTGAAACAGGTAAATAATACAGCTGGTCACTGAAACAGGTACATGTTAATAGTACACCTGGTCACTGAAACAGGTAAACAAATAGAACAAACAGAAAAACAAATAGAACAAACGGGTAATCAAATAGCAAGTAAACAAATATCCTGTGATGTCACACTGCATTGGAGAAAAAGAATATGACAAAGATTTGATAGGTGAATTGGTGTATACACATGATTAAAAATGATTAAAGATGCATGACTTGACATGAACCAGGTAGAACTTGTTAGGTGTCAACAGGTGGGGAAAGGTAGATAAAAGAAGGGACCAATCAAGGGCAGATCTGTACAGTGCAGTAGATCAAGAGTGTAATGTGAGATACTAAAGTATAAAAGGCTATTTAAACAAAAAAAATTGCTGAAAAGAAATATATTTATTGGCCAATTTTTATATGAAACTTGTTTCCTAAACAAAAGTATTTTAAGCCCAAAAGAACTGGGTAAATTATAGATTAACAAAAAAACTACAAATTTTCAACTTTAATTACTCTTGGATAGTCATACATTTAACTTTGGTTTCATCTTCCTGGTGCAAAGTATCAAGTAGTTTGGGATTGCATCTCTTTGTGCCAATCATTTGTATTCATCCAGTATTCAGTTAATTAAAAAAGCAAAACCATTTTCCAAAATTATACAGAAAAAATAACTATAAAAAAGTAACATTTGATAGATGTATTAAACATAAAAATACCATGTATTCATTTTTTTTTTATTTATTTATTTATTTATATATATATATTTTTTTTTTGCAAAAATAAATCATAAAAAAATATAAACAAAACAAAAACAGATATATGGTATAATATGATGATCAAGTAACTGTGAGTATGATATTTGATGGGCTTGTGAATTCTTTCAGAGACAAGTGTAATATTTAGTACGTGTGCTGTTCTGGTATAATTAATTGCGTCAGTTAGGGTCATATCCTCCGCAGTAAACATTTATCATTTATATCAGTTCATTATCTTAGGTGTACAGGTTATCATGTTTTGTTACAAAATTCAAATATTGATTCTTAAACATGATGTGGGCAGTGATAATGCATAAAGAAGTATACATTTTAAGTAATGTAAAGAACAAACATGCATAATGAAATGTATATTTGTACCTGTGCACTGCACTGGTCAAATGTGACAATTCTTCATAATTCTACCCATTGATATATTTAATTACATGTACAGTGGAGCCTCATTTATCTGGAGGCTTTGGTTCCTAGTCAGTTTGTCCAGATATGTGAAGTGTCTGGATATCTGAATTACCAGTTAAAAAAGACAAAATAACGTTGAAAAATTCCATTCCAATGAAAAATCGTCTGGATACTGAAGTATCCGGATATCTGGCGTCCAAATATCTGAAGGTCCACTGTATATCTCAGTAGTGAAGTAAAATTAGATACAATTTACTAGATGCATTTCATTTGTGTGGCAAATAGTTCTTAAAAATGACAGGTTAAAATACATTTTTGGTTGTGTTTACCGAAAACATATGACTCAATACACCTTATTAATTATAATCATTAAATGGTAATAAGCATCATTAAAGGAATTCATTCTTTAGCTTTGAGAAACATATAGGATTTCTTATCAACTAGACCTTAACCTGAAATATTCTAGGACTATGTCAGTTACCTCTGATGTACAGTTTCCAACAAATTATTCATATCAATAAAGAGCACATAACTGTATATTAATGTATTTGTGTTTTTATACATGTATAAATATTCCAGGACTAAGTCAGCTACCTCTTACAGTCTCGGACTTATAAATCATGCTGACATAGAGCTCTGTATAATGTATTTATGTTAACTATTCCAGGACTATGTCAGCTACCTCTTATATACAGTCTATGACATATACAGCATGCTGACATAGAGCTCTGTATAATGTATTTATGTTAACTATTCCAGGACCATGTCAGCTACCTCTTATATACAGTCTATGACATATGTACAGCATGCTGACATAGAGCTCTGTATAATGTATTTATGTTAACTATTCCAGGACTATGTCAGCTACCTCTTATATACAGTCTACGACATATACAGCATGCTGACATAGAGCTCTGTAACTCTGATGGACTGACTCCACTAATGATAGCAGCCATAGAGGGAGCCAATATACTCTGTGATGTAAGAATATTTATTTTCACTATCCTTTAGCAGAAACACTTACTTTTATTGTGTATATTATTTCCCATGAACTACATCATGTTCTTAATCTTAAATGTAGGTTATGTCTTTAAGTTCAAGGTCACAGGACAATGAGATTTTCAGTATTGTAATCATGTTATGATCAATTTTAATGAGCTGGTAAAATGAACTGAAGCATAACATTTACATGTAACACATGGGTTAATTTGTTTGACCCAAGATGTGCATCATTGTCAAGGTCATTTATTAAGGTCTTTGGGTCATCATTAGGTCAAAGAAACATAGTTAAAGTACTTTGCCTTGATTTTATCCTCTTCCAACTGTTAACCTAACATTTTCCAAATAAATAACAGTCAGCATTGAAATTGTTTTTAGTATAAAATCTTTGCTCATATTATATTTGTAGGTCCTTATATGTGTATTTGGAGCAGATCCCAATAAAAGTAATGTTCACAATGGTCGTACAGCGTTACATTACGCCACCCAGTACAATCACGTCAGTGTTGTAGGGTAAGTACAATGTCAGACAATATTGTTATCCAGCTTTTTATATTCAGTAATAGGAAACTACAGTCAAGAATGCAAAGTTTGAGTATTGAATAATTCAGTATGTACACTTGTTTACTTTTAATGCTTTTGAAGAAAAACTTCTGCTAAAGTGAAAAAAAAATCTTGTTCTTGTATGTTTAAAAAATTGCTGAAGAAAATTTTCAATAGGGAAATCTGCTTTTAGAACTCTGATCAAGAGGGGAGCTGATTTCAACAAGGATGATTATCAGGGGTTACGACCTGATGACCTCAATGTCAGTGTCTATCACCATGACGACTGTCAGGACATCATTACATCACACAGGGCACAGAGAATCAAACACCTCTCAGAAGTTATACAGAGTGTAAGTTTGTAACATTTGTATGGCAAGGTTTTGGTTTATTACAGTAAACCAACTTTTATTTGCGTACGAGAAACTTCTGTGAGTTTCACGACCTACTTTTACCTCACGAATGCAGCGAACCAATTATTTTGCTTTGTATTTGTAAAGTATATTTCCTCAGTCATGAAAATTAATCATTGCGGATTCGTTTCACACTGATGAATTGAGAATAAAAGATGTCACAAATAACAGTTGGTGTACACAAATTAAATAAATTGGTGTCTTGCACAAGAGTAGTAAAAATTATCATAATGATATTGTTCAACAGTTTTCAATCATGCAAAACGCACACATACAGTTTAAGTAAGTAGTGAAGCTGTACATAATAAAGTCAATTGAAAACAATAGTTCAAGCAAATATGGGATATTTGAACTCATTATATGTGTCTGTTCTTACTTTATTTGATAAGTCACTTGTCATTGCTTTTGTTTCAGGGGATGCTTAAGAAAACAGATTTGTGGGAGTCAGATACCAATGCCATTGATGAGAACAATTTCACTCTTTTGATGATGGCAGCTATTTTTAACAGGTATTTTATATTTTAACCTGTATTTTACAACATCTAACATACCTTTTGCAGTGTATTAAATTTGAACTAAAAAAGTTTTATTTCTGTTGTAGACTTGAGAATGTTAAAACCATTCTGGAAGTTAGTAAAAACTCCATTAATGCTCAGTATTATCAGGTAAATATAATTCATGAAAACTTGTTGAGGTGAACTTTTTAAATATCTGAGTTAACCTATGTTTTATGAAGTGATTGTACAGTAAAATTATTGATTACAAATAAATAATGTGTTTCCTGAACTTGTGTTACTCAAAAGAAATGGATTTTATCCTGTATAGCAATATACTGTATCATGTCTTGCTTTTCACACACAATTTTCTATCAGATATAGATGAAGCTGATTGGGTGTTAATAATTTTTTACATTTTAAATGATTCTAACACATTCACTATGATTATTGTATAGCTGAGTGAGGAGGCTGGCTCTGAATACATCACGGGGATGACAGCTCTAAGTATGGCTGCCATGAAAGGAAATGCTGATGTAGTCCGTCTCCTTCTATTGTAAGTTACACATACTTTCACTCTTACATAGAATTTGTGTCCAAGTCAAGCATTATATCAGCTTCCTAATGTCAGCTAGGGTCCTAAATCTATTTGTTGCTTTTGGACCGAGTGGCCACAAGTACACCCAGGGCCCCTGATATAATGAAGATGGTATATGGGCTGATAATGATCAGAATGAACTAGTATTTTATGATCAAGCTTATTATGATTATCCAATATATATACAGAATTCTAGGTCATCAATTTCTTAATAATTGATATTATCCATTGTAGAAAGGGAGCTAATCCTGTGATCTCAGACATAAATCAGTTGTTTCCCCTTCATCATGCAGTGTTGAACAACCAGCAGGAAGCAGTAAAAACAATTCTGGAGTTCTTCCCATCATCCTACTGGGTAAAGCAGAAAACATTATAGATTTATAGCTTTAACTTGAGAAAAAAATCTTTAATAATTTTAATCATTGCATTCATAACTGTTGAACTAAAAGATCCTTGTGTTAAAATAAGTACTTTTCATGGACCAAAGTTGAATGTTGGTTTTATGGTAGACCTAATGATTTCTGCCTCATTTTGATAGGGGTTGTTCGATGCCATGAAAATGAGCAAGAAGACAAACATTCACAGTATTATAAAACAAGCCTGGCAGAGGTGAAAAATTTAGCAAGTTCATATTACTGTTATTCCATTTTTCTTGCATTGTCAGTCTTTATAACCATGAAAAATTTTCAATTCATAAAACTTAAGGCTGTTTGTAATTTGCACTTTAAAGTATATATTTTCCTGACTTAACGATCTGCAAAATATAAAACTTTTTTATTATATGATATGAGACTGTAGAAAACAAGAAAAGATTTTTGAGTGCAGATCTGTTTGAGTCCTGTATGTAGAGATGATATGAGTTACTATTTGTAGGAGACAAGAAGAGATTGTGAGTCCAGGTCTGTTTGAGTCCTGTATGTCAGGAAAGGCTGAGCAATTATACTGTTTATTAGAGGAAGGGGATAATGTAGACCCAAAGGTAAACATATGATTATAGCTTTTGAAACCTTGAATATGTAATAATGTAATTTATTGTACAAGTAGAGACACCCATAGTTTATCTTACCATAGTTTGGTTCAAGGGTTATACAATGTACTTCCTTCAGCTAATCTTAAGATTTGTTTCCATTTAGAGTGGTGTAGGAAATTGGCCCTTGTTTTTAGCTGTGGAAAATGGACATTTAGACATTGTTAGACTTCTGTGTCAGGTAAATATCATTAACAGGTGAATCTGTGTGTATTTCATCAATCATCAATAAAAAGTAAGGAAGATTTATCTTACATATTCACATATTTTAATGGTCAAAAATTTATTAGATACAGTTTAACTTGCCTAATCTGCCACCACTGGTACCAAAGAAATTGGCCGTATAAGACAACATTCCAGATTAGACTACTTTACAAATAACATCATTGAAACAAGATTTGAAAGTCATGACATCTATATTTCACAAGTTTCATTGTATATTTTAAATATGTTTTGAAAAATAATATCCATTAGCATGGCCCATTTACCTCCCTTCAGAGTAATTGAGCACAGAGAGAACTGAACAATGATGTATTATTACTCTGTAAAGTCTTTCTTAGACTTAACTTTGATTCAGATTCATGACTGATCTTCATATTTTGCTGTTGAAACCCATTTTCTATCGTCTGTATTTGACACGAAAGTGGACATGATAGAAATTTTACTTTTTGATAGTTTTCTTGGCCTTGTCTAAATAGCTTTGAAGAAGTACACCCTTCAGTCTTTGACCACAAGGAATATAAAATAACAGGGATTGTTGCCCCAAAAATGAAGAATTACAATGACAAATTTAATTTTATAACAGAAAGGAGCGGACATTCGTAAGCGATACACCCCTACTGGATCCACCCTCCTACACACAGCGGCTTTAATGGGTCGTGTGGAGGTGATGGACTACCTGTTAGAGCTGTGCCGCCCCCTGAAGAAGAGCAGTGAGGAGTACAAGTCTGGTTACTTCCACCGCGGACTGGACATCAACGCAGTCAATAAGGAAAATAAAACAGTGCTCCAGGTCGCTGCTGAAAAAGGTACACACTAAAAATAAAATGGAAAGATTTTGAAGAAAATCAGAGCAACACTTGACCTTGATATATACTTTCATTGTTTTTAAATGACAATTGTTTTAGTTGTGAAAGAAAGCAAAAAGTGAAAAAAGTACAGACTTACAAAGCATTGTTTAAATAACTATTGTACATTGTACATAATCATTTTTCTCAGGATATTTGAAGATTGTTAAGTCCCTCCTCTTACATGGAGCCACTACCTCCCTGTTGGATGCCAATGGCAGCCTTTTCTGTCTCTCTGAATTCGGAGGAGTTTGGCAAGAAATCAGTGACCACAGACAAAGACATTCCAATCATATCTTTAATTTCATTACTCAGGACTCCAAGAAAAACTTTGCAGCTCTCATGAAAATATGGCTGGTGAGTTTTCCCACAAAAAACCCTCTGTATTTTTTAAAAACCCTTGCAAATAAAGCAATTTACAGTTTCTTTATATCTGAAATTTTTGTTGAAGTTTTTCAAAGTTGATTTTGAGGGGAATAATTCTTCCAAATGCCAAGACAGCATGAATCCCATAATCTACCATAAATTAATCCTTTACTTCTCTTCAGCCTGGATTTGACCACAATCTGCGAGACAAGGCGGGGAATACCCCGCTGATGGTGGCTTGTCAGGTGGGAGTACAGGAAATCATTGCCTTCCTACTGCAATCTGCTGTCTACCCACAATCCTTGTTTGAAGAGGATGATGCCATGTAAGTAAAACCTCAGTGTAATCATTTCAGTTTCACTACAGCAACTGAGTATTGTTTAAAAAAAACCCAGTCTTTTAAGGACTGAATTTGATCCCTCGTAATCAGTGAAATCATTTTATTTCATGGGGATTATTAGATACCATGGTGATTTGTGGAAGCAAATTTTGATGACAAACGTTTATTTACTGTAAACGTATTACATTTGGCTGTGTATTCTTTTTAGCGCTTTTGGCGGAAAGCAGCACCCACTAATTAAGTACATTCAAGTACAATGCTAAATGTCCCGCGCATATATCTATTAAGAAGAACATTAAGATATGCGCTCAATTAAATCCATGCTAACTTGTTCAAAGTCCAATATCGTACGTGCTAAATATAATACATTTACAGTATACCGGAGACAAAGAAAATATATGTATATCGATACTTGTAGAGGCTGTATTCTTGTTGGAAATCCATGAAAACTAAACCCTCTGTAAAAAATAATTTTATAGTAGACACCTGATGCATTGTTAATAAAAACCTAAAATAAAGCGTACAACAGAACCAGAATTGATTTTAAAGATTTTAACAAGATAGACACAAAAATCTTAACAAAATGAATGATTTGAGTAGCTTTGCTGACCTCTGCTCTGTGTTTCAGAAGTGTTTTGAATATTAGAAATGTTTATAAAATAAAAGCATCGAATCTTCTTGACCTTTGCATATAAATTATCAAATAAGTATACATATGATAATTTGATTGTTTGCTGACAGATCTACTTATGATGACAATGACTCGGGGGTCCAGGAAGCCATCTCACCATCAGCCAATAAGAAACCTTATGCTTCCTACACAGATGGTATGATATATAGATATTTAAAATAGTGATATGTTTTTTGTTATCTTTTTTTAAATTGATTTGTTTATAGAATGATAAATGATTTGAAATAATCTTAAGTTTACTTACTTGATATTTCATTAGTAAATGGATACTGTAAAGGTATTACATTTAGCTGTGTTTTCATTTTAGCATCTTTCGCCAAAAAAAAATCCGCTAATTCAAGTAAAACGCTAAATGCCTTGCATGCGTGTACATAAATAAGAACAAGACGCTAAATCAAATCCAAGCTAACTTATTCAAAAAATTAATTTCTGCCAGATGTTTTACATGCTGAATAAAATACATTTACAGTATATAAAAGCACCTGCTTTCTTCATTCCATAAAAATATTTTCATTGCAGATGATTTACTGAGAAGTTTTGAATTCTCTCGTGATTATGGCCATGAAACTTTTGTCCACAGGTATGTAATCCAGTGTAATTAATATATGTTAGTGTATAAATTAAAAATTAATAAAACTGTATGACATTGTACTATTGCTATATCATTTAGGTAAAGAAATACAACAGTTTCTGTACATGTACATGATTGTAAAATTTTTATGAGAAAAAAACTCTTTGCAGAAAATTCATGTCTGCAATTTGAATAATGTAACAGTTATAACTGAAGCTTGATTAAACATAAGTTTCATTTTTCTGTTCCATTGGTTCTTCAGAAGAAGATTTTTCACATAAATCAGAATGAGTTTTAAATAATTAAGCACTCTATAAATTACTTAATATATTACAGACCAGACCATGACTTGGCATCAAGTCGCCTAGAAACACTATTAAATGATGTGGAAAAGCCTAAAGGACTCTCGATCATTCATGGTTAGTGCTGATATTTGTATTCTAATAAGGAAACATTGAGAAATTGATATCCTCATTGAAAAGTACAAAGTACCTGAACTATTAAATATTGCTTCATACCATAAGTTTTTATATTAAAAAAAATATGTTCCTTTTTTATTTAAATTGAGATCGATATGGATTCCAAGTTAAAGATATATAAATTTTATTCTTTGTTATTATTTTTTTATTTTCTGGATGTGCTTTCATTATAGATGGACTCGTAAGTCATGTCTGTGCAGTAAATCCCAGTACTGGTTGTACCGCTCTTCATCTGACGATGGAGAAGGGAGATAACTCTAAGATTGTCTCCCTTTTGTTGGAGGCTGATCCCAGCTGTGTGAACATCCAGGACAACAAGGGACTGAGTCCCCTCCATTACGCCTGTAAACTGAAAAGGAAGAAATGTGTGGAAGTCCTTCTGGTAAGTTGAAAACAAATGACCTTATTTTGGAGGGATAAAAAAATTGACCAATTTAATTGATATTAAACTAGGAGTATATAAATTTGAATTTTTGACAGCATTATTATTCAGACTTGAAAATGATTTTACTCTGATATAAATTCACCTAGACATTATGTTTGTCAGAGTGGTAATGGTCTTTGTTGAATTCACACCTAGTTTGGATTTGCCCAGTTTTTACAAGGCAGAAAGGGACAGAGAAAATTTTCTCTGTATATAGTAACTATTCAAATAAAATGCATGAAATTTTCAGAGTGTGGATGAGATAGATGTCAATCTACTGTCACTGAATGGAGGACTAGCAGAGGACATGACCACTGATAAATCGATCATCAAACTAATCCACCATCACAGGAAGGGGCAACCTGTCAGGTAAATCTATCATGTCAGGTAAATCCATCATGTCAGGTAAATCTATCATGTCAGGTAAATCTATCATATCAGGTAAATCTATCATGTCAGGTAAATCCATTATGTAAATCTATCATGTCAGGTAAATCTATCATATCAGGTAAATCTATCATATCAGGTAAATCCATCATAGGTAAATCCATCATGTCTGGTAAATCTATCATTAAACTGATTTACAATCACAGGAAGGGACAACCTTTCAGGTAAATCTATCATCAAGCTAATCCACAATCACAGGAAGGGGCAACCTGTCAGATAAATCTATTATGTCAGGTAAATCTATCATATGAGGTAAATCTATCATGTCAGGTAAAAATATCATGTAAATTTATCATAACAGGTAAATCTATCATCAAGCTAATCCACCATCAAGGGAATGGATAGATAATATAGGTATTGGAAACGTGTTCTGATTATCACAATTTCAACTTATTTCGCAAAATAAAAAAATCATCAAAAGCTCAGTTTTGTTCATTTCCTTCATTTTTGTGTTCATTTTGATTAGTTACACAGTGTGTTTTGTAGATCAGTGAAATTGCAACTGGCATAAAGGTGTTTATAATTGTCTTTCCAAATTTATTTGTATGATTAAAGATTGACGTGTATTGATTGATCTTTACAGACAAAGGGTAGAACCCAGAGGGACAGCCCCCTCATCTGTCTCAGACTTCTGCCTCCGGTCAACACCCAGCACTCAAATGGCTTCCAGTGTCAACTTTGAGAAAATTCAGGGAAGATTTGAAGCTTTGAAAAGGCAGAAAAAAGACTAGACAGCTGAGTTGATTCTTTTAGAATATTTATTACAAGGTCATGTTTTTAAATAACAAATAGAGAATGCCACCAAATAGTACAATTCTGAAATTACATTGAAATAATTTTTTTTTTCATTTTTGATACAAATATCAGAAAAGTTTTTACTCATAGAACATACCAATGTCTTATTGTATTTTCCATGAAAAACTTACAAGGATAAAGCAATTTTTGTAACTGATATTCCTTGGTATATTAGATAAAAATGAAGAAATATATCACGAACAGCCTTAGGTTGAATGTTTCATATTATACAAGTGATCATTTGTTATATGTAAGATTGAAAGATATTTTATTGAGGGTTGTATGTAGCAAATGAGCTAAAAGGAAAAACAAGTTGTTCTGATTAAAAAGGTTGTTTGCGTTCAGTTGATAACTGAGAAAAGTCTCAACTTAACAAAAAACTGTAGTTTGATTTCATTGAAAATTAATAGACCAGTGTTATCATTTGCTAGTTACTGTATTTTGCAAAGGAAAACAAAAGTAACAGAATAGGTGTTCTATTTATACATTGTTAGGCTGGATGAAGTGTCAATGGGTTATATGCCCTCAGTAGTCTAATTTACTAACCTTTAGTATTTCAACACTGGAGTGGATGCGGTCATCAAGTATCATCAGCAGGGGAATTAAAGTTTCTGACAACTGACATAGTATGTAAGTTGTCAGAAACTTTAATTCCCCTGCTGACCATTTAAAATAAATTGGTTCATAATTTTGCATATATTGCTTAAATAGAGATAAAATATCTCTTTTCTTCATAACCTAAAGTAGGGATTTATTCATAACATTACAAACCTAAAATTTCATTTAAAGAGGGGGGAAGGGGTAAATCATTTCAATTGCAATTTAAAAAAATAAATTTTGGTATCAATTTCAAAAATCTGCAAAATCATTTTTTTTTGTAGTAATGACTGATACACTATTGAGGTGCTATGTATATATGTAATTCAAATTGGATAAATATTCTTGTATATAATATATTGTATTTACTGAACGAAGTAAGAGACACAAACTCTTTCAGGTTGTTTGATGCTTGATATGTTGATATACAAAGTAAATTTATTTTCTTACTGAGTAGAGGTCAGTTTCTATTTTTAGAATGCTTAACAGTAAACTTGAGTATTTTTATTTATAATGATTATATTTGTTCATTGAAGGTCAGTATCCCCCGATTAAAACTTACAATACATATGTTGTCAATAAATTATTTCATCTATAGAAATGTACCAGGTATATTTATCAGTATCAGTTTTTATTCGTTTTTTAACTGTTTTAGATTCGGAATTTATTATTGTGTAGTTTGCAAGAAGCATCACTATTCACTAGCAAGCATAGGTGCTTAGATTTTTTAAAATGTATATGTATAGATACCAAATACACGTATAGATTGTTTACTATATATCACATAAATTCATATATACTTACAAAATACTCTTTTTTATTGATATATTGCAGAAATACATCTTAAAGCTCAAACAGAGCTTTACTCACAAATTCTTGTTTTCAACATTTGACATGTATGTCATTTCATGATATTAAGTATTTTTGCAAAATAAAAAATCTATAATGTTACAGTATGCTAGTCTTAACACTGTGTATATGACCAAATCTGTAAATCTACTGAATATTTTCTCCTTCTTTGTATGAAACATTATACTTTTTAATGAAATAGGATTGTCCCTGAGAATGAAATAGCAGGGGACATTAAAAAAAATATAAGGGGGTCTGGTGTTCCTACCTTGACAGGGGTTGAGGGGGTGGGTATACCAGAATAACCAGATAATAATGTCATTATAGATGGGGAAATTGGTTGCAGGGACAACCCTGATGAAATCTACTTCCTGCAAACAATCAATTAATTATGAGATAGTTTATAAATATCCTTTTTGTTAAGGTTTTTGAAATTGTGATTGATGTACCGGTAAATGATTAAATAATTATGCTTATTGATAATTAATTTTAACAGTCATTTAAAATTTATATTTTGTTGTTGTTTTTTTATGTTGAGTTTAACTATTTATTATTCAGCTGATATTCATATATACATGTACATTATTTTATATAAATTATTGAGTTTGAGTATGTGTACAATGGAAGAAACAGGTAAACCGTGATCGTTGAAGATTGTTTCCGAGTCAATAAATTTCTTTTAATGTTATTTATTTGTCATCAGTATTTTATGTCTGACTAAAAATTGAACTTTTTATGTTAAATGCTTTTTAATTAACATGCAAGCATCCTCAGGTGTGTAGATTTTCGCCAAAACAGGCCCAGAAGGGTTAGAGTTTGAAAAAAGTTTTCATTGAAATATTTTAAAATTCTTCTCAAAAACAGCAGTTTAACAGTAACTTAATATAGGCTGATTCTTTTTTTCTTCAAATGTTGGCCTCTTGGGTGGGGGTTGGGTACATCAGATTATATGAGACACACTTTATTATAAAAAAAAAATATGAGAGAGTGAGAGGTCAGTATCAGTTAGATTATTAGCACAGTGATCACACATTCCATTATTGTGATAATTTATGTTCACATTAAGGACACTATAGTTGGATGAGGCTAAAATTTTACATATTACATATAGGAAAATAAATTTATAAAAGAAAATTCCAAAAACAGCATGCTATACTAGTCATGCCTTAAGGAAGCTCAGGACATTGCTCACTGAAGAGTTCTAATTCCATGGCACAGTTAGAGTGATCTGCCCTTTGTTGTAAAGTCGATTAATCTCCTATACAGAGTTCGTTACTCTCTCAGAGTGAATGTGTGAGCCGATGGTAGAGAATACTACAGTATATGACAGAGTTTGAAATAGACAAATTTACTCTGTTCAAAATAAACCCAATTATGAAATGTATATCATGGGAATGAATTATTCTGATTTCAAGGGTAAAACTTACCCTTACTCTAACCCTTACGGCATGCTATTTACATAAGCAAGTTTTTGTGTGCGTTATTTAACAGATGGAAAATGCCCACAATATAAAAATACATATGGGTAGATGATGTCACTTATGTTAATGAAATAAGATTTAGAATTTGTAGCTCTCTACATTTAACATAAACTTGTTGATATACTGGAAATAAGCAAGCGTAGTTTAGAGTCTAATAAGGAAAATAAGTAAAACTCGTAGTTATGCGGGTTTTCCCTTGATGACTAAAGGTATCAAAAAGGTAATCAGGTATCTTTTAACTGTATTTAATGCGTATGTATCCGTTGAAGAAAATCAGTACAACAAAAGAAAAATGTGACAAGGAATGACAACATCGACAAGGTCATTGATCCCTTTTTCCTCTTTTCAAAATTAGATCGAAAAACCGAGCACCTGTATATATAAAATACAAAATAAATAGGATGTTTACAATACCCGATTAGTTGGTTGTAAGTTACAATACCTCGCCTCTTTTCTTTAGGTATTATTTTGTTCAGTTTGAGAGAGCAATGATCTATACGATTTTACAGAGCAATGATCGCAGTATTATGCGACCTGGAAAAAATGAGTAACGTGACGTGCTAATGATTAATCCGAAAATTTTAATATTTGATCAGGTTGAACGATCTAACATTTAACACACCAACAGGGTGTCATTAAGACTTATTAATTAACGCTCTCGACATGTATTTGATTTATCATCAACTAAAATGAAAATCCTGTATTTTGTCTGATATGTACACGTACTATTACATTGCAATACATGTACCGGGTAACTCAATTTTCAATTTGAAATAGATCAAGAAATTATTCATAAAAGATTTCATCTTCAGTTTAAACTCTGGATATCGTGATACCATTTGGGTAAACCATTTATAATTAATTTGACTAGCTCTAGAGTATTAGGATTCCCCCCATGTAAAACTGACTAAAGAGTAGGATTTCCCTCACGGAAAATTGACTCTAGAGCAGAATTCCCTCCCCCGAAAAAATGATCCTTGAATAGGATTTTCCCGACGGAAAAATGACTCTAGAGTAGGCCGGATCCACCACGGAAAAATGACTCTAGAGTAGGATCCTCCCCCCAAAAATGACTCTAGAGTACGTAGGATATCCCTGAAGAAATGGCTTTAGACTCTAGAGTAGGATTTACCAACGAAAAATGACTCTAGAATAGGATTCCCTGGAAAAATGCCTTTCTTTTCGAAATGCAAAAGTTGAAACCTGACCCCTCCATCCCCCACCCCTTCCAAAAGAAAGATTTAGTACTTTATTGTAGTCTAATTTATCACAAAGGTTCAAATTACATACATATTTGTCATTAAAGCACATTTTAACAACAAAATAAAATGCTCAAAAATGCTCTATATTTAGTCCTAAATATCTTACATTTTCCAGGCATTTTTACGATTTCGATATTTTACGTGCCAGGAAAACGTCAGAGCAGGTATGAAAACTGGGAAATCGCCGGTTCTGACGTTTTCCTGGCACGTAAAATATTAAAATCGTAAAAATACCTGGAAAACATCAAATATGGACTACTATAATTCAAGACAGCATTCGACATCGAATCCAATGCAAATCACGTCATTTCCGTTTCGCACAGGGAAAACTTACACACACACACACACCCTAACCTACACACACTTCACTTCATACCCTTAAACTCTCTTGCGAGCGATTAACAATTGAACAAGATGGACGAAGATAGGGAATAGTATTTCTTCCAAATTTGATTAGCCTTTTGCTATACGCATGTTTTTCTCAAGTACCCTCTGCCTGTACTTCTTATAAGTACACATATTTATTATAATAATAATAATAGATAGTCTCTTTTGGTTTCTCGTAGAGCGTGTTCGATTAGATAGCTCTGATAAGAATCGTTGATGTACTACAGCTGTGGACCAGCGACAGGTGAACATGACTCGGAATATTTATAAGGTCTAATGGAGATTTAATGATTTTAAATTAAGGCTATATCTTATGTCTGATTTATAACTTTTGCACATAACATCTGTGCAATACAAAACAAACTGACCCTATTCTGAAAAAGGAAAAATAT